GTTCCATCAGTATTGGAATTCTTGCAAAGACGAAAGTTGGAAGCAAACAAGGTCAATCCCAGCTGACTTTCTTTCTCTTTACACAATGAAGGGTGACATAATCATTGTCTAGTGTTAATATATATTGCTCCTGATATTTCAGGCCAAAGAACTATGTCTGGCAATTACACAAACACTGATTCTAGAACGCAGACCTATCACCATGGTTGCCAAGGCAATGGATGCATTAGTCACCTCATATGCCCTCTCTCTGAAAATTGGCAGTTATTTCAGGGGAATAAAGACCGAGAGGACCCCCTCGAGTGTGCCAAATGTGAGTGGCCCTGGGCAAGGCATAGATGTAAACACCAGTAGAACAGATGGAAAATCTATCCAAAAATCTATCCAACACGAATCTGCTTCCAGAGTCAACAGTGTATCTGTCGGTAGACCTTCAACCTATTCATCTTCAGAGACAGAGGATAGTTCCCGCTTTGAACCATCAAAAATCAGCTCAAATGATACTCAATTTGATGGTGGAAAAGGGGATATGGATGCCGAAATTTCTACCACTTATAATCCGTTAAATGCTAGTGTTTCTGAGCAGCAGGAGTCTCAGTTCACTTCACCTGCAATTTCACCCGATGAGATGTACAGATTTGTCTTTGCTCCTATTGAGGAAGAGATGATTGGAGAGCCTTCTTATCTAGTTTCCATCATTCTTGAGTTTTTTCGAAGGTATGGTAATCATATAAGTGGTTTAGGACTCTTGTGTATAACAATTCTAAAGGATTCTTAAAATGGGCTTTAAGCTTGTTAATAGCTACCATAGTCATATTCTGGATATATATAAACAAAGCTCACAGTAACATGCTTTCTTAGCCATTTATGTGGTCCATAAAAACATTGGTTATTCAATAAATCATGACCTGGTAGTGGTTACTGTGAGGAAGTCCTTGGCCTGTCCTTCAACTGAGCAGCAAATTTTATTTGGTCTTATCCAAGTCTTTAGAACTTAGAAGTGTTATAATATATATGTGTAGATATGCATCAAATGAACTCTTAACGACATATAGCTACCTTCCTTTTTAGATTAGTTATAATGAGCATGGGATAAAAGGAAAAGAAAAGAATTTTTGGTGTAACTGTGTCAAGAGCAGGTAGAAGAATATTAAATGCATGGTCTAACAAATACACAAACCAAGCTAACTCTTGCTTGGCTATGGTACTCGTATGGGAAAGGAGGTGTGAGTTTGGTTTTTGCTTTTTTCCGTGAAATCTTATGTGTTTACTTTCTGCAGTGCCAATTTAGAAAAGGTCAAAGTGCATCCAAATCTGTACGTGTTAACTATTCAAATACTGGCCCGCAGCGAGCAATATGCAGAACTTGGTTTGTTTGTCATAAACAAGGTTTACAAGTCTCTTTTTACCTTAATAATAAGTGTTCCTTGCAAAAGAATGAATGTGTTGATGTTTGAATATTGATTTTAACTTTTTAAGAGTTCAACTTCTTCTGCTTCAGATTATTGAACCTTCGAAAGAAGTTGCTCTACAGCTGTTGGAGTCAGGTCGTCAAAATTTTCGAACTAGGAAACTGGGCGCAGATATGCTGAGACAGATTTCTTTACATCAGGATTATGTATTGTTATTAGTGCAAGATGGATATTATATTGAAGCTCTACGTTATGCACGGAAGCATAAGGTAATCCTTCATTAGATGACTGCATTCGAAAATAATTTTGTTAGTTGTTTCCGAGATCTTTTGGGCTTTCATAGCCTGGACAAGCAACCTTGTCCTGTTTCTCCAAAATGTTGGTACAATTACTTTATGTTAGGTGGTTCTTGTTTCAGATCATCCATGCTGCAACTAGTGCATATTTCCGAACATTAAGTTACCTAATTCTTTACTTGTTTGAAATTGCTGTCAAGATATAAGGGGTATTTGATGGCATTTCCTTGAAATACACATGTCCAACACATATCTGGACATGCGAATGGGGATATGACCCTCTAAGGATCCTCCAAATGTATTGAAAATTTAGAAAAATCTAAACATATCCGTATCAGACACATCCATACATCCGATACTCGCACTCGAATCTGTGTGATATTAGTGCATTTCACCAAATCACAATTTAAATTGTTTCAGGCGACTACCATCAGCCCCTCTGTGTGATATTAGTGCATTTCACCAAATTACAGTTTAAATTGTTTCAGGTGACTACCATCCGCCCCTCGTTATTTCTTGAAGCAGCTACCAGCTCCAATGATTCGCAACACCTGGCCGCAGTTTTGCGTTTCTTTTCAGATTCCATTCCTGGCTTTCGTAGCACTTCAGATTTCTTTACGTACTACCACATTCTGAATGAGATGAATTCTTCTTCAGTAGTTGCATGAGGAGTGATTTCCAGTCTTAATTATAGGCATGCAAGTCACGGTTTATTTATTATTATTATTATTATTATTATTTTATTTACTTTCTAAAAAAACCATACCAATCATATGAAAAATGCAACATAAATGCAAAAGAAGTAACCATCATCTTTTATTTTAACATTAGAACAAAGTGTTGAATTTGTAATTTCCATATATTGTTATTTTATGATACATTTCCATAGATTGTTAGTATTTATATTCCAACATACATGTATCCCCTTGGGGTTTTGGTTTTGTTGTTAATGCTGTGTTTATGGGCAAGACGATCGATTCCTTAATTTTGGTTGTATTGTTAATGTTGACTCGAAACGTTTGATAATGGCCATAAGCAATAGGGTCACTACCAGTACCTTCCTCTTTACTTACTTTCCGTTGGGGTGAAGCTATTGAAATGACCATAAGCAATTAGGATGGTAATGTTGATCTCAAATTCAATTAAACTAGAGTTTGCTTATAAATCCAATACGATTATTATTTTTTAGATTAGAATCTAAAGATGATAATGAAATGAAAGCAAAGCAAAGCTTCATTAATCATAACAAAACTATAGAAAGCCTCAAACATTATACGCACTCACTCTTAATCTACATTTTACAAAGAAAATTTAGGTAACATTCTATAAAACTAAATTTGGATTTCCTTTCACAGTAAAGAGTATTGTGCGATGAATAATTACAAACTACTTCCAAACTTCCATATTCTGTGAAAAAAGGTAGGTACATTACCTAGTTATATTAGAAGAACAAAAACCTTATGCCGTTACTCCCTGCAAACAAACTGTACTCTTCGATACTGGTCTCATTTTCAACCTGAGATGCTGAAAATTGAGAAGAAAGTTCTCCTCCGGCAATCTCTTCTTTCAGAGGAGCAGGGTTAGATTTGCATGCCATTGAAAGAGCCACCGGCTCATCGAAATGGAACAAGGAAAAGCTACTGTCATCACTGCGTGATTTGGAAAAGACATCATTTTGCTTACCTTCTCCATTTGCTGCTTGTTCTGTTGTATGCAACCTGCCAGGAGTAACCCTCTCGGTATTAACTTCGGTAAAAGCTGCTTCACTTGTTGTAACTGGCTTCAGAATCTGAATATGATCCTCGGTATACAAGCCATTCGCCTTTGAAACTAGCTGATAGACTGGAACCGGACCAGGATTAAGCATGGGGGTAGCAATATGCTGCAGAGTGCCATATGGCATGCATAAACCTGAGTTCCCATTTAAACCATAGCCAAGAGGGCTGGTATAAAAATAAAGATTTGAAGGAGGGAAAGGCATTAATCTATTAGCTGGTGTTGCAGGCCAAGAAACAGTATTCTGATGGTAGTAGCCCATGGTTGAAGGAGCTTGATAGACAGGAAATTGTAGAGGTTGGTTATGAACTGATGTAAACATGCCTTGGTGTTGTGAGCCCATAGTAGCAGTTGTTTTTTCATTATCAGAAATTTTAATGGTTTTCAGTGGATTTCCGGAAACCTTGTTCCCTCCGCCATCTGGTGAATGTGCAAACAATGCCTTGCTTTCCAAAGCAACCCCTCCATTGACATCCTGCTTTTTATCAATTCCTTTTACTAGACACTCGGTGAAGCCATTTTGGTTGCAGACTGAAGAATCAAGTGAGTGTCCAAACAATGGCTGGCTTTCCAAAGCAGCCCCTCCAATGACAAGTTCTAAGTTATCAATCCCTTTCACCTGAAGCTCGGAGAAACCATTTTGAAAGCAGATTGAAGTATCTTTCCCATCTGATTGTTGACTGGCCTCTTCAGGATCTGACGATGAAGATTCTAAGTGTCCATGATTCGAAGAGAAGGTATTCTATCTCCTTCACTTAAGGCATGAAGAGCAGTTATCGGAACTAGAAGTGCTACTCATCATAGAATGAGAAATTCCATTAAAGGTAGGGTTTCTATTGGGACAAACTCCAACTTCCTTGGATGCTGCATTTTGTGAAGAGCATTTATCCTGTGTTTCAACATGACAATCCACATCTGTTGCAATGCTGGTGCTTGATTTGTTAACTTTGCTATGCTTTTCATCAATTTCTCCCAAATTTAGTCTAGCTTCGATTGAGCATGTCTCACCAGATGACTTAAGTTATGATCAGATCCAGCTCCTTCATTGTAAGTAGACGACCTCAGAGTAATATCCGTATCAGTTTCTCCGGGGGTCATTTCTCTGGGCTTTTGCTGGCTCCCAAACTTTCTTGGAATGGAGTGTATCTCTACCAGAAGGGTTGTCTCCTGCAATAATTTTATTTTTTATTCTTCCAAAATCTTCGTGCATGTACTCTTGTTGATTATACTTGTTACCGGGATAGACTTGATTGGACATATCCAAAGCAGATTTTGACTTGCTTACAGACTTCGGTTCTAAGCATACTCTAGTAGCAGAAACATAAGGCTCAATCTTGGCTCTGTACTCATTGTGTTGACCGCAAGTGCAAAATTCATATCTGTCACTCCGGCTGTTTGGACACTGATCAGTATACTTAACACCACAATTCCGGCCATTGGACTTGGCACTGCTTATCCTGGACTGCCTATTTAGTCCCTTGATGCTCCTTGAAGGAGCCTTAAGGCTTTCACTTTTATGTCTAGCTTCACATCTATTAACAGGAGCACTTTCAGTGGATTTTTGACTGTATGAACCAATAGTTCCTTCCAGATGATGTTTCTAATTTCACATTTGTTTCTTTTTGTTCATGGCTTTTTGTCTCATCTATTCATTGCCATTTCCCCCCAAATATTCTCCTCAATGTTAAAGGATGGTCATGGACTTCAGTTATCATCTTAAATTTGGTGACGTATGCCTTGCTATGGTTGTTGATACTTTTGTACTTTCTACAGCTTCAGCAGGTGTTAGATTCATTCATCATATTAGCTGCTCAGCAAACAGAAACTGGCATTGCTAGTCAAAATATAGAATTAACACCACCTCACTCAACCAGTGTAACATCAGCCCGTGGGTTACCATGGACACAGTTTAGCCCTTCAAATATAAGAATAGCTCCCTTCCCAACTCGAGAATACATAGATGATGAGTTCCAATCCATCATTAAGAGCGTCCTGGGCCTGTTGTATGTGCCTCTTGACATTAATGCCTGTGTTCACTTTATTAGTTTATGTTAAAAAGTTTATTTTCATTGGCTAACATGATATATTGTTTATTGTTGCTCTCCTTTGGGATGAACAGGTATTTATTGGGATTCCTCTATCCAATCTCTCGCTTGATCAGCTATACTGTGTTTGAGAAGGTGTTTAATGTTTATCGCAGTGACGCAGTAATAGTTTTCACATATCTATACATTTATGCATATTTTTAAATTTTCTTCAATTTTTGGCATTTTGGTATGGAAGATATTCTCTCTTTTTAATTTCTTAAGGTCTAAATCATTTCCTTTTCAAACATTTCAGGAGCAGAAGACAAGAGAAGGCCTTTTTATGATGGGATTGAAAGATGGGATATTCCATTTCTCTTGGTTCATTACATACGCTTTTCAGGTTATTTTTTGGCTGCGGAATTCTAGAATAATCATGTATTTTTCCCGTTCTTTGTACTTTGACAGAGCGTGAGGTCTTTTTTCCTTTGTAATTTCTGTTTGATTTTTTTTTTCATGATTCAATCAATTTGGCTAGAAATGTATTAAGTGTTAGGAAAATAAACCGAGTACAAGTAATTTCCCTATAACCAGATTAGTGAGAATGCGAAATAAAAGCGGAAAAATAATACCCGAAAATTGATAACGGAGTTCAGCCAATTGTGCTTACGTCTCCGGGCTGCTGCAGATCTTTTACTAAGAGAGAAAATTTACAGGTGTTTACAAAACACTCACTACTCACAAGAAAGCTCTCTAGTATAGGAAGAAAGAAATGTTTTGGGATGATTTTGAAGCTAAATGGGTAAGGGTATTTATAGTAGAAACTTAGGGACTAATCTTTGAAAATACCCTAAAGTGCAATGACTAAAGTGAATTTACCCATTCCTATTTTCAACAAACATCTACCAAAATTTTACCAAACTTTGAAAAACATTTTTCAAAGAAACATTTACCAAACTTTGAAAAAAACATTTTCCAAAGTTGGTTGCCAAACTTTGAAACTTTTAACAATCTCCCACTTGAAGACTGATTTTAATATGTCTTCACACCTCGATCAATGCAGCAGCATGTCTGGTCTATTTATTCTAGCATGCCAACTGAAGTTGAACACAACTTCAGTTTGTCCGTAGTCACCGTCTTTGTCAACATGTCTGCCGGATTTTGAGCTCCACTAATCTTTTCAAGTTTCAAAATCCCATCTTCCAGAAGAGACCGAATAAAATGATATCTCAATTGTATGTGCTTTGTCCTGGAATGAAAAGACGGATTCTTTGCTAGATGGATAGCACTTTGACTGTCGCAATACAAGATATTGTTTTCTTGTTTCTTGCCTAACTCTTCCAAGAAACTTTGGAGCCAAACCATCTCCTTGCTGGCTTCCGTAACAGCGACATATTCTGCTTCAGTTGTGGAGAGAGCAACTATCTTCTGTAGTTGAGAAACCCAACTCACTGCAGTTCCTCCTAGAGTATAGACATACCCAGTAGTGCTCCTTCTGATGTCGACATTTCCGGCTAAGTCAGCATCTACATAGCCTGTCAGTATCATATCTCCACCTTTGAAACAAAGTGCTTTGTTTGTGGTACCACGAAGATATCTGAGGATCCATTTGACTGCTTCCCAGTGTACCTTGCCCGGATTATTCATGTACCTGCTAACAGCTCCCACTGCATGAGCAATATCTGGTCTGGTACAAACCATGGCATACATCAGACTTCCAATTGCTGAGGCATACGGCACCTTCACCATGTGTGCACGTTCTTCCTCCGTCTTTGGTGATTGGTCTTTGGAGAGTCTGAAATGAACACCTAAAGGTGTACTTACTGGTTTAGCATCTTGCATGTTGAACCTGGAGAGTACTTTGTTGATGTACTCAGCCTGTGATAACATCAAAGTCCCCGACTTTGTGTCTCTCTTGATCCTCATCCCAAGAATCTGCTTTGCAGCGCCCAGATCCTTCATAGCAAACTGCTTCGACAATTTTGCTTCAAGTGTATAATCTCTTGCATGTCTGAGCCTGCAACGAGCATGTCATCAACGTACAATAAAAAATAATGAAGCTGTTGTCGAACCTCTTGATGTAGCAACAATGATCTGCTTGGCATCTGATAAAACCACTGCTACTCATGAAGCTATCGAACTTCTTGTACCACTGTCTAGGAGCTTGTTTTAAACCATACAAGCTCTTCTTCAACCTGCATACCAAGTTTTTCTTGTCTGCCTCTATGAAGCCTTCTGGCTGCCTCATATAGATTTCTTCCTCCAAATCACCATGAAGGAAAGCTGTCTTTACATCTAACTGCTCAAGATGTAAATTCTCTGCAGCTACAATTTTCAACACCAGTCTGATTGTAGACAATTTTACGACTGGAGAGAAAATTTCATTGTAGTCAATACCTTCTTTTTGCTGAAAGCCTTTGACAACCAATCTTGCTTTGTAGCGTTTGCTCCCATCGTGCTCTTCTTTGATCCTGTAAATCCACTTGTTGTGGAGCGCTTTCTTGCCTGGTGGTAATTCAGCTAATTCCCATGTCTGATTTGACATAAGCGAGTCCATCTCATCTTTCATGGAAGACTCCCACTTGACTGAATCCTCCACTTGCATTGCTTCATCATAGCACTCTGGTTCACCATTGTCAGTCAGCAACAAGTAGTGTAAAGAAGGAGAATACCGTTGGGTTGGTTTAGGAATTCTGGAGGAGCGTCTCAGTTCTGGTGTGCCTGGTTCTTCTTGAACTGCTTCAGGATTGATCTGAACATCATTTCCAGAAATCTCCTCGAACTCAGCAAATTCCTTTGTTTCAGCTTCGGTATTACTTGATTCTGCGGTTGATCTATCTTTGTACATCAAATTTTCATTGAAAATGACGTCTCTGCTTCTGATGATCTTCCGATTTTCATAGTCCCAAAACCGGTAACCGAACTCATCACCGCCATAACCAACAAAGGCACATTTGTTGGACTTAGCATCAAGCTTACTTCTTTCAGCAGAGTCTATGTGTACATAAGAAATACAACCAAACACTCTTAAGTGTGAAAGGTTTATTTCTTTCTTGCTCCAAACTTCCTCTGGTATTCTGCCATCCAAAGGAACTGAGGGCCCACGGTTGATCAAGTAAGCTGCAGTGTTGATTGCTTCAGCCCATAGAAATTTGGGCAAGCCGGCATGTATCCTCATACTTCTGGCACGTTCATTCAGAGTTCTGTTCATGCGCTCTGCTACACCATTATGTTGCGGTGTCTTGGGAACTGTTGTCTCCATCTTGATCCCATTGTTTGCACAGAAATCTCTGAATCTACTGTCTCTGTACTCTCCTCCATTGTCAGACCTCAACCGCTTGACTTTCAAACCAGTCTCATTTTCCACCATGGCCTTCCATTTTCTGAAGGTATCAAAGACTTCTGATTTCTTCTTCAGAAAATAAACCCACACCTTCCTTGTTGAATCATCGATGAAGGTGACATAATATAGTGAGCCTGCAAGAGATGGAACTGGGGATGGTCCCCATACATCAGTATGAATCAATTCTAACCTTTCTGTCTTAGGTGTCTTGCCAATCTTTGCAAAACTGACTTTCTTTTGTTTGCCAAAGATGCAATCCTCGCATAGTCCGACATCTACATTCTTTAGATCCGGCAGCTTCCCTTTTGACAAAAGTGTCTTCATCCCTTTCTCGCTCATATGGCCGAGCCTTTGGTGCCATAGGTTTGATTTTCCATCAGCATCTGCTACTGCAATGATATTCTCTAAATTGGAGGTTACATAGAGAGTACCAGTCTTCTTACCACGAGCAATGACGAGTGCTCCTTTGGTAATCTTCCATTCACAGCCTGAAAAGGTTGTGCTATATCCTTCTCCATCAAGCTGTCCAACAGAAATCAGATTTCTTTTGAGGCCAGGAATATGTCTCACTCCTGTCAGCTTCCAGGTGGTCTGGTTTGGCAACTTTAGTCGGATGTCTCCTTTTCCGACGATCTTTAAGGTTTCATCATCAGCAAGATGAACCTTCCCAAAATCACCACTGACATAGTTCTCCATGATTTCTTGGCATGGGGTGGAGTGGAAAGATGCCCCTGAATCCAAGATCCATGATTCAATCGGACTGTTGACGCTTAGAATCATGGCATCACCTGTCTCCTCTGTCACGTTGGCAGATTCCTGTGCACCGGTATCTTTCTTCAGTGCTCGGCAATCTCTTTTAAAGTGACCTTTCTTGCCACAATTATAACAGGTAAATCTTTCTTTCCCGTTCTAGATTTTTCCCGTCTGGATTTTGATCTGCCACGATTTGAATATCTTTCTGAAGTTCTTCCTCTAGACTCCGTGTGCAAGGCTGAGGAGGTTGATGCTTCACCCGATTCTCTCCGTCGAATTTCTTCACTCAGTACCAGATCCCGAACATCGTCAAATTTTAATTTGCTGTTTCCCGACGAACTGCTGACTGCTGTAACAGTAGCATTCCAACTGTCTGGTAGAGATGATAAGAGAATTAAAGCTCGAACTTCATCATCGAACTCAATTTCCACTGAACTCAACTGGGTTGTGATTGTGTTGAGTTCATTTAGGTGTTGTGCCACCGATGCCCCTTCCGTCATCCGCAAATTGAATAATCGCCTCATCAAATGAACTTTGTTTGAGGCCGATGGCTTCTCGTACATACTGGAGAGAGCCGCCATAAGACCCGCCGTGGTCTTTTCCTTTGCTATGTTAAAAGCAACATTGCGGGATAACGTCAGTCGGATAACTCCGAGGGCTTGTCTGTCGAGAAGAGCCCAATCTTCATCCTTCATGCCCTCTGGTTGCTTTCCTGAGAGAGGTTGATATAGATTTTTCTGGTACAAAAAATCTTCAATCTGCATCTTCCAAAAGCCAAAGTCCGCACCATCGAACTTTTCAATTTTCACCTTCCCTTCGTCTGCAGCCATCGCTCCCACTCGAATCTGGCTTCGTTTGGATCGTTTCTGACAATTCTTGCGAATCACTGTGTATTAGAACACCACCGTCGACAAACTCGTATCGCCGACCGAATTTCACTATTCACGAAATTCACTATTCACGTGAATAGTAATGAATAGTAACCTCGCAGAAAATTTGACAAAATTCACAACCAAAAGCTCTGATTACCAGTTGTTAGGAAAATAAACCGAGTACAAGTAATTTCCCTATAACCAGAGTAGTGAGAATGCGAAATAAAAGCGGAAAAATAATACCCGAAAATTGATAACGGAGTTCAGCCAATTGTGCTTACGTCTCCGGGCTGCTGCAGATCTTTTACTAAGAGAGAAAATTTACAGGTGTTTACAAAACACTCACTACTCACAAGAAAGCTCTCTAGTATAGGAAGAAAGAAATGTTTTGGGATGATTTTGAAGCTAAATGGGTAAGGGTATTTATAGTAGAAACTTAGGGACTAATCTTTGAAAATACCCTAAAGTGCAATGACTAAAGTGAATTTACCCATTCCTATTTTCAAC